AGGGGAAGGGTGGAATCTAATCAGAATATTCCGTTTATATGCTGGTAATTCAGCCGCCTCCACCCAGCACCACCCTCTGTGGCCACACTTCGTAAAAAGATTACACTTCTCCCCATGAAGTGAAAATTACCTTCTTGAGGGAAGAAAGCGCTTAATTGCGACCCTGCTGCCTTTGTCTCCATGGTGATGCCACGCAAACAGCCCACTCCCTTCTACGCTGGGAGCCCCGACCCCCACGCTCTCGGGGCAGCCCAGGTGCGCCGCTCCCCTCGGAGCCCCGGCAGCCCCCGGGCGGGAGCGTCGGTGCCCGCTGCAGCGAGCGTCTGCCTGCATCTCAGCGGGCTGCAAAGCGGCGGCGGATCGCGACGCGCCCCCCCCGGCGCTGCTCGGAGCGCGGGGCCGTTACCTGCGTGCTCCCCGGCCCCGGGGCCCGCGGGCTCGGTGAGGATGCTGGGGTCGCTCTGCGATCTGCCTCGCGGGAGAAAGCAGCCGGGCCCTTCTTCCGATGCAGCCATGAGGCGGCGGGCGGGAGGCTCAGAGGCGGGGGCAGGAGGAGGCGCTCATGGAGCCGGCGGCCACCGGGGGACAATGGGGACTGGGGCGCGGCGGCGGGGCGTCAGCCGGGCAGCGCCAGCCGCGGCAGCATCTTCCCGGCGCCGTCGGCAGGCTGCGGCGGGGCCCGGCACCGGAGAGCTCAGGGGACGGCCGAGGACGCCTCAGAGAGGGGTGGGTGCGCCATGCCTCCCGCGGGGCTGGGCAAGAGCCGGGACGCGAGCCGTCCGTCCGCCCGGATCCCCGCCGCCCCCCGCGCGTCGCTCCCGGAGCCGCCTCAAGCCGCCGCGCCGCTGAGCGCATCCGTCGGAAAACATCGGGATTCTCCCATGATGCCCCGCGAGCGGCCGCGTGACGTCACGGCGGGGGGGGGGTGTGAGGGTGCCGCACCTGCACTGCACAAAGGCGGAGGCCGCCGCAGGTGCGCGCAGCCTTGAGGCTCCGCCCCTCCCCGCGGCACGTGACTCACGGAGGGCCCCGCCCCGCCCCGCCCCGCCCGGCAGAGGGGGCTGCGGAGCCGCGAGTTCCCCCGGGCCGAGCCGCGCTGAGCCCGTCGCAGCCCGACGTCCAGCGACGCCGCACGGCGGGACGAGCGGCTCGGTTTGAGAGCTCGATCAGAAAGAAAAAGGGTTGGTTTGGGGAGATCCTTTCGCTGAACTACCCTACCTGCTGTGTTCACGCGAGTTTCGACCGATAACACCGGGCGGGTTTTGAGCGCTCTGCTGGCAACGCCGCGCCGCCCTTAATACGGTTGTGTGTGTTGTCTCTCCGGTTATCGTAGCAGCGGGTGTTCAATCCCCGTCGGTCCAGCAGCTGGCCGGTGCCTCCCGCCGCCCCACGGGTCCGTCTGCCAGGTTTTAAGGATGAAACTTTGTACCAGAGCGTTTTCCATTAATGCAGTCATTCATTTACTCACATTTTTGGCTCTACAGAAACATAACATCTTATGTTTGTCTTTATATAAAGGAAATGCGTTTTAGTCATCTCTAAAAGCAGAGGCCAATAAAGCAGTTTTGTGGTTTTTAACAATTAAAATCCATCACCTCTATCACGCTAAGAAGCACTCCTGCCTTTTTTATCTTGCAGCAGGAGTTTCAGAGCTGGCCAACATCTGCATTGCATTTGAGAGTCACCTTGGGCTGTGTTCCCTGAGCTTTGGGTACTATAGAAAAAGAAGCCCGTGGGTTTGCATGTAAAGCTCAGTTGTTGTTATCAAGCTGAGGCGTGAGCAAGGCTGTCCTGGTGCACCACCCAAGGCCTGGTTGTGCTGCTGCTCATAACAGTGAGTTCAAACATCATCGGGAGAATGAAAATTGAACAAAGGGTTTGAAAGCAAAATCTGAGAGTTTCTCATTCCATGGGTGCTGTTCCCTCTGGCTTTGATTAAGACACATCCAAAACAAGAAGTAGAATATGGCGTTTTTAATCAAAGCTGTATCATAATGTGGTGGAGTGGATTAAGATAATAAGGGCAATCTATACTTTTCTGAGAGCTTACCATTGCCATCTTGACACATTTTATTGTAATTTCTTCCAAGCCTTTTGAGTTAAGTGGCTCATCCTAATTCCAAAAGGACAGCTAAATGAGCCATTTATATCACATTCTAAAACGTTCTCGAGGAACCAAATAAACAGATAAAACTTGAACACTTTGTTTAAGGGAGGCTTTAAAGATACAGAATGCATTTTATATCCTTTTGCCCATAACCAAGCTTTTGAGTTCCATGACTCAACACTGCAAAGAAGTCAGGACCGACAATAGATATTTCTGAGTGTGTGGATAGCACAGTATGACATATGCACTGCGTCCAGTTTTTAATCTAGAAATATCCCCTTTGCACTCAAATACAAGCCCAATCCACTTCTATTCCTAAAAAGAGGAAGTGGCAATTTTTTATCTTTTTCCCCATGTAAGTCTAAGGTCATGCTAGAAAATGTTGATCATTCTGTGAAACTCTGTATAATCGATACACCCACCTTCTGCAGTGAAAAACTGTACTGATTTCTTGTATAAAATATGTAGTTTAAAAGTCTCGTATCAGATTTTGGCATTACTGCGGGATGAATATATTAAAAACATTTTCAACCCCAGAAAGAATATCCCCAAAACAGCATTGTGTCTTATAGAAACACACACAGTGGAGTTTTTAACCAACTCACGTTCTGATTTCCTCTGTAGAGGGCACTTCATGGGGTCCCTTTGGATCCTAAAACATAGGCAGATAGAAATCAGCCAAACAAGCCTAGAATCTCTCTTGCTGCTTTAACTTAGTTAAAACATTTCATTTTCCCTCACTCCAGCCAAGCCAAGCATCCAGAGGCTCAGTGTGGGAATAAATCCTGGGTACTGTGCATGCCAGCTGACAGAGCTGCCCCTAGGCCACCTTGTTTCCAGATGAACCATCATTGTGCATAGGAGAGGCAGTGCAAGAAGAAATAAATTGTGTTAAGACTGTATGTTTAAACCTGTGTTGCTAAATAATGCCTGATGAGTAAAAAGTACGCATCCTTACATGGTTTTTTGTTTCGTATATAATGATGATGATAACGATGGTGGCAATGCATCTATTTGCACTTTTCATTTTCTAACCTTCAGGTAGGCTCTGCATTCTTTTTGGGGAAAACACAAAGCTTTTGACAGGGAAAATAGATGAGATTCATGGTGTTTTCTTTGTATTCAAGGAGTAATACCAAAAGGTCTTCATAGAAGGAAGTGAAAGTTGATGGGCAAGCACCAACCAATATATTGTATGTATTCTAAATAGTAAACCACCCTGAAATTAGAATGAAACTAAGTCTGGTTCTCGCTGTTGCTACTAGCACTTGAAAAATTGCCCTTGACTTCCCTTCTTCTTTGTGATGTAATTTTATAAATGTCACAAACAAAAATATTTGCAGGATCCAAACTTCTATTGGTAGCAACATGGTTCTGCTTTTATTCTCTAACTGTAATAGTTTTCTGGTAAACAAGTTTGCAACATTTTCCAAGAAAGCACAATGATCTAATTCCCTCTCAAAGGATCTCTAGCCTTTGATATTTGTGATGAAAATTGATGAGTTTTCTAGCGTAGTGATGGGTACTTCTGCAACTGGGGGTCTGTTTAGTGGGAGGGAAAAACAAACAAACAAAACAAAAAACTTCTTAAAATGAAATATCTGTCCAAGAAAAACAAGGGAGAAAATGTTGCTAGCTTGATGGTAGTTTAACAACCAAACCAATGCATGTGCATTTGGTACAACTGCCCTCGGTAATATTAACACACCATGATGTAAGTGGTATTCATGGTTAGAGCCTTCTGCTTGGTGACACCTGAACTCCTGCTTCATGATCCTAACTTGTGTCAGAAAGAAAGAATTCTCTGAGGAAAGGGAAAAAAGGAAGCAAGTGATGTCTTGAATCATCAGAATATCAAACAACCTCATCTTTGTTAATCTGAAGTCTGTGTATAACCTCTGAACGTAGCTTACATCTTTCTGTGCTGTTACATAAAAAAAATCAGTGCGGGGCACATTTAGATTGACAGTGCTCGCCTTCATGTTAGAATTGTGCTGATGACCACAGGACAAGTAGCCTCGCTCTGAGCAGTTTTCTCAGATGCAGCAGAAGAAAGCATTTGTTCTGTTGCTTATGTGTCTTAACCTAGTTTTTAGGTTTTCTGCCAGCTTGTTGTAGTTCTGTGTTCTTATACTAACAACAAAGAGGAGCATTTCACTGCCTAAAAGGCTCTTGTCTCTATTTACTCTTTGTGTGATAAAGAGGGCATAGGGCCTATTTTGAGTCTTTATTTGTCAAGAAGATAAATGCACATCACTGAGAACAGACAGAAGTATCATCCCACAGTCAAAACTTTGTAAGCACTGAGTCTTGAAAGATGCCTTCGCCAAAGCATGGTGATGTCGTTGCTACTATGGAAGGCAAATGAAAAATGAATAAGCATGAGGGACTCATTTATTGGTGAGTTCGTGTACGTATTCACAGTTAACATCTTGGATACTGAGGAGCTATTCCAGGAATCACTCATCTGATTTTCATGTTTGCTTTTTATCACAGCTCTAGTGCTCTGCTTGTCATGTTGTAAGGGAACGAAGGGAGGAAGCTGGCAAAAATGCCAGGCAATGCAGTCAGCTGCAGGCCTTCCTGACAAACAGCTCTGCTCATGCATCTCCTCACTAGAACTGCAATGGCAAAGAGAAGGCTGGCATCTCCTCTGTATCAGTGGCTGCAATGACACAACTTTGAACAACAGCAGCAGTGTCATGGTCAGTGGTGAAGGAGCTGGTACTCAGATGTGCAAAGGCCTCTGGAGAGCTTAGGGATGCCATTGCTGTGGTGTAGGAGGGCAGGAGGAGGGGCTGTGTGAGGAGGGAGAGGAGGGCCCTGCACTGTGGGAGGTGAGTGGCTGCAGGGCTGTGATTGTGCCGTGCAAAATTCCATAGGGGTGGATCTAATTTTTCTCTCCATTCTTTTCCATTTTCTTCCCCTTCAGACTTCAAAGTGTCTGAGGAAAAGATGAGTATATACAACTTTCATGGCACATCCAGATCTTCCTTTCTTCACTGCCATTTGGGAGCAAAAGATTTTTTATATAAATTACTTTATATAGCCACAGCGTTCTTAAGGAACGTGGCTGGACATTCCTTATTATCTTCATTTGCACTCTCAAAGCATTCCATGGTCTTGGACATCCAAAACAAGGAATACCTGCTGACCCCACAGTGTGGGCCATGAGTTGTGCTCAATGCTGTGACACGCGGGTAGCAGGTGGCCCCAATGGCCCCAACAGCCCCAATAGCCCTAATGGCCCTGATGGCCCTAATGGCTCCTCACAGCACTGCCATCTCTGCTTTACCTTTGAGCCTTTTATTGAGGATGTCACACATTCTGCTCCAGAACCCCAGTCCTGCCCTGTGTTTCCACTCTGACAGATGTACCCAAGATTTATCTCCACGTGCAAGGTATTTGGTCCTGCAGTTTAACTTCAACTT